AAGGAAGACCATAGAAGAATTGATGCTTTTGAGTTATAGTGTTGGAGGAGAATATTGAACGTGCCATAGGCTGCCAAAAGAACCAACAGATCTGTTGGAAGAAGTGCAGCCATAGTGCTCCTTGGAGACCAGGATGGCCAAACTTCGTCTCTCATACTTCGGACATATTGTCAGGAGGGACCAGTCGCTGGAGAAGTATATCATGTTTGGTAAGGTGGAGGGTCAGAGAAAAAGAGGAAGACCCCCAATGAGATGGATTGGCCAAGTAGCAGCAGCATCGATAAACTCAAGTATGGCAACTATAGTGATGTTGGCCCAGGATCGGTGTTTTGTTCTGTTGTGCATAGGGTCACTATGAGTCGGTACTGACTCGATGGCACTGAACAACAACGGTAGAAGGAGTCTGGATATGCCATGTGTAGAAGAAAGGCTGACTACTGAGTTTTCTGAGGCTCAGATTTCTGTATCTTGGTTGTCTAATGAGACATCGTTGTCTTCTAATAGAGAAACATTGAACATAATTAGATGATTTCTTCACAGATCTGACATGACATACCATACTCTTAATGGGTCATCCCAATATTAAAGCTGTTCTTCTAGAACGGACATACCGCTGGTTCATTTCTGGGATCTTGTGATCTTCTGACCTTTTCCTGGTGTGCTGCTTCATCTGGAGTTATTTGTGCTGCAGGAACAGCTGCTTCTACTCCTCAGGTGCCCTAACTGGCACTATAATTCCTAGTGAAATTTCTTCCGTTTACAGCTGACTCTTCTTCAGTATTTGAAGGAACTTTCAGCGTATTTTAAAAAATAATCAAAATGAGATGGACAACATGTATAGGCCTATCACCCTTGGTAATGCCAAATGTACTTTCTCATCTTTGGTATCATCCTGCAAGGGAGATGCTGTTGTGTTGTTAGGTGCCATCGAGTCAATACTGACTCATAATGACCCTGTGCACAGCAGAACGAAACACTGCTTAGTCCTGGGCCAATTATTACCCCACTTGAGCCCACTGATGCTGCCACTTTGCCAATCCATTTCGCTGGGGGTCTTCCTCTTTTTCTCTGACCCTCCACCTTACCAAACATGATATCCTTCTCCAGCGACTGACTGGTCCTTCCTGACAATATGTCTGAAGTATGAGAGACGAAGTTTGGCAATCTTGGCCTCCACGGAGCACTCTGGCTGCACTTCTTCCAACACAGATCTGTTTGTTCTTTTGGCAGCCCATGATACTTTCAATATTCTCCTCCAACATCATAACTCAAAAGCATCAATTATTTTATGGTCTTCCTTATTCATTGTCCAGCTTTCACACGCATATGAGGTTATTGAAAATACCATGGCTTGAGTCACGTGCACCTTAGTCTTCAAGCTGACATCTTTGATCTTTAACACTTTAAAAAGGTCTTATGCAGCAGATTTGCCTAACGCAATATGTCATTTGATTTCTTGACTGCTGCTTCGATGAGTGTTGATATTTGATCCAAAAGGAATAAAGTCCTTGACAACTTCTTTTTTCCATTGATAAGAATGTTGTTTATTGGTCCCAATGGTGAGGATTTTTGTTTCTTTACATTGAGGTGCAATCCATACCAAAGGCTGTGATCTTTGATCTCCATCAGTAAATATTTTAAGTCCTCTTCACCTTCAGCAAGCAAGGTTGTATCATCTGCATAGCGCAGGTTGTTAATGAGTCTTCCTCCAATCCTGATGCCACATTTTTCTTCATATAACCCAATTTCTCAGATTATGGAAAGACGGAAATAAGAGAACTTTAAAAAATAAACATCATTTTTCTTTATGTTAAGTTGTTAAAGTGATCAAAGCAAAATAGGAGAGTCGTCTTCATGATTCTTAAGCCAGCCTCATGAGTTGAACTACCATTTCCAATTCAGCATCAATTGTAAATCAACTGACTGGATTTTCTAGTCGACTTTGAAGGAGCTGTCAAGGACAGCAGGTCTACTACGACCCACTGAAGAGCAGGATGGGCTATGCTACTCTGGCCTGGGAAGGTAATGGGAAGAACAAAGCCATGGAGATGGCAGATGAACAGATATAACAGGGAAACCCAGGGGAACTTGAATGGTACTGGAATTAGGTACCTGTGTGAGACTGTTCCCTGAGTCAATACATGCACATAATAACAAAGGGAGCTCTGGTAGCATGGTGGTTACTAATTGGGCTGTGAACCCCAGGGTCAGCAGTTCGAAACTACCAGCTGTTCCGCAGAAGAAAGATGAGGCTTTCTGCTCCCGTAAAGATTTACAGCCTCGGAAACCCTGTACAGGGTCGCTATGAGTCGGAACCGACTCCACGGCACATAACAACAACAATAACACATGCATACACTTCCAAGGTGTTCATAAGGTGAAGTTCTGACTTCATAGTCAGAGGACTCTGAGATTCCAAAAACCCCTGGGGAAGAATCAGTGACGTAGCAGAATGATCCAAATCTCCATTACCGTGAGATGCTCACAGGTTTTAACCTACTAAATTAGCTCTGGTTGCATAGTGATTATGAGTCGGGATGCTAACCTCAAGGTCAGCAATTTGAAATTACTAGCCATTCCATGAAAGATGAGGCTTTCTGCTCCCATAAAGATTTACATCATTGGAAAACCTATGCAGGGTCGCTATGAGTCAGAACCAACTCCATGGCACATAATCACCAACAACAACCAACACCAG